TAGTCCAGTTGGCTGAATTGACGTAGAGGCTCGGATGAGAAAATGTTGTCATGGGTTATCGACCTCAAGGAATCCGAATTTGAGGGGTCCGTTGCCCCCAGAGACTTCTCTGATGCGGTGCGGGGAGGGCGGGGGACCTTAAAAACTGGTACATTCAAGCATTTGAGGTCCCCCCTGTACCCTGCCAGAGAAGCCTCTGAGATATGGGGATAGGTAGGGGAGAGGGGCAGCGGGGCTGGTCCCCTTAGTATTGAAAATAGTATCATCTGTCCAAAATTTGCATTCCTTGAGGTCGCCTAGGTATGAAATAATTTTTTCCTTCAATCTCTACATCCTTCATCTTCAGGGGTCAGTATTTCGGACACGGATGGACAAACTTTTGAGTTTTTTTAAAGTCAATTTGAGTACACATTTTCGGTACTCTCCGATTCCAATTTTATAATTTCAAAATTTTGACGTAGATTCCGTCTCATAAAGTAAAGACCCCCCCCCCTCCCCTTTCACTCCCTGAGGATAGCTGGGGGAGCTCCTAAGTCCAAAGCTGTGAAATTTGGATTCCTTAGTGCCAATTCCCAATTCATCACCACTGTCCTGGACTGTGTCTGACCTAAAAGACCTGAGAGAAAAGTCTGGTAAGGTAAGTCGGGGACACTGGCTCAGGCTCTCCCGTTAACTCACAGTTGAAGATCACTAGGCTTATCGTGGTAAATTCCTAAGATAAAGTTAAATGTTACTGCTGATTAAATCAATCATTAAAAAGAGAAGAGGCTTCTATCATTAATATTTCCGGTGGTTCAATACTGCATAAGCATACTCATTGGGGTCTTAATTGAGGCTATGTTGCTGCCAGTGATGTCAATGGCTAGACATAATTGCCTAAAATCATTGGGCGATGTTTACATTTTTTGCAAGGTTAACAATAGCCTATCTTTGATGACTGTTCCCTGTGAGTTTTTGTCACTATCGATGCACAGGAAAAGTTCTCTCTCTATGATGAATCGGCAACAGACCAAAACATATTTCATAGTAGAGAAAGTTTTGTTACAATAATCAGCGTTGTAAGTCAATGGAAGTTCAATGAACCAGAGGATTCCTTCGTTATAGAGAGACTAATGGATGTTGACATGGATAAAGAGAACTGCAATTAAAAATTAGGTATGTAGGATACCAGAATCTAACTGGCTGAGTTAGTGTCTCCTCACCCAGCAAAATGTATGCGAAAACGTCACTACAACGTAGTAACGGTATTTTCAGACACCTCCCGCCAGGCAGAGTAAGACCTCCATATTTTACAGATCCTCTGCTTGAAGAGATCCTCTCAGAGACAAACACTTGTTTGAAACAAGCTAGAAACAACAGTTGCTTCCAGTTTATTCTGATCATCAAAACACAATAAAGATAGGGCTGGAATTGCCGTGATCGGCCATTATAATAGCTTGCACTTGCATTGTACCTAATACTGGTACCTTTGTCCGTATTTCAAGATTAAGTAAAATTAGAGTAACAGTAAAATACATACCTGCTATTCGTAATACTGCTCTATCAGCTGGATCAAGTTGTAAGATACTCAGTGGCTTATCCTTTGCCCATTCTTTGAGACTCCTGTCTGCATCGAAATCCATTTTCAAGATATAGGAGCACTGTTCACACACATTATGCTAGTCTGTTCAATTGCTGCACATTGAACATGACGTAGGAGATAGAACTTTCATGATTTAAAAAGAACCAAAAAGCTCGTAGCGTGGAGAAAATCGTGGTTCAAGACCGATAACATTGTAAAAGAGAGACCTAAAGCAAACTTTTCTAAGTACACGAAATCGAATGAGAGGGACGCACAACCGCACAGAAACTTGCAAAGTATTGAAAATGATCGATAATACGGGACAAAATGAGGGTACCGACAACAGTAGAAAAATATACCGCAAGGTTTAAAAAAAAACACGGCGCTTTGATTACCGGGTGCTACGTGTGATAAAACTGGTTTCAAAACGTAAACAAAACACATTCAGCCTTCACGGACTTATCCCCATAATCAGCTGTTGAAGTTCAATGGCTGGCTGGCCGTTGGAGGTTGTCTTACGCCCGCGGACTTGTTCTTTACTGTCTCCTTAAATAATTAGGAGGCTCGAAGAGATATTCTATGATACCTTATTCAAAGTCACGACTAAATTGTCATTGGATTTCAATTTTATAAAAATGAGTCCGAGGCCAGCCATGGTGCAAAATCACTCTGCCCGATTCTGAAGCCGTTCGATTTTCAAGAGACAGGAAACAATCAATATGCACGAGAGCTCAATTGGTGGAGCTTTAACTTCCCGTTGCAAAATGTGCGGCACGAGTCAGCACACCACGACCGGAGAAATCGTTAAAGGCACAATAGGAGTAGGAAAAATGAATTGTCCTCCTTAGACGCACTGCCCTGGGTGAAAATCGATAAAATGGGCTTTGAAAAATACTTAGCGAGAGTGAAGTACGGTTAGGGTGGGTGCGCGTGCAACGATAACAACTCCTTGAGCTCAGTTATTTTATTTTCCAGCGGGCACAAGAAATGAATATTCTGGTTATTTTGATGTTGAACGAAATAAATTGATGATGAGCTCGGCTTAGCCGACGAAAAGTGGGCGCGCTCGAAATACGACGACGGCAGGCAGACTGATGAGGGTATAGCGGTACTAGAGCATCGCCGCCGCTTCGCGCCGCGCCGCTCCGCTACCGTAACACAGCGCTTTGCTTCATGTATTTCCGTTTTCCGACGTCACACGAGAGTCTCTCTCACGCCGCATAGTGGGAGAGAATGGCTCATTTGAATTTTGCGGACAAAAATCTGTAAGCTGAAGGGAAATAGGAGCATGTACCTACACATTTTTGCGGGGCACTCTACACGGGTTTCAACGATTTTGCATGAAAAATTTGCAACCCCCAAATCTGAAAGCGTGCATGGAACTATACAGTGAAAGACCTCCTTCATAAATTAACCGGTGGCTCGAATAATATGATGGACCACTTTTTTATTCCTTTTTTTTACTTTTATTTCTTCTTTGTATAGTGAAAAATGCGTTGGGTATTATGCGACGTGCCCAATGTGCTTCGGAAATTTGCAGCGCTCCCCGGCTCGTTGAATGTTGGTTGCAAGTTGCCTATGCAGCGAGATTGAAGGCGAACCTCAAGTTGACGACATTTCGTCACTTTTCGGCCGAAGTATCACAAGCGCCATGCAGCATTTCAAAATTTCCGCCGACACTTTGTTTGAAAATGAGTACGAAGACTGAGTTCGGGGCCCTCCTGCCTAATTTTTAAAAATCTTCAACCGTTAGACGTAAACTTTGTCAAAAAATATGAGAAATACCAGTGCATGTAGAAAACGTCAAAAATCGAGCTTGACCTGAAAAAAAGTTTGCTCTTTGAAAGCCTGCCATCGGTTTTCAGTATAGACAACACGAGCTCTCACACGGACGAACAGTAGCATCACTCAGGTAGAATGTCACGAACTCACGATTGCTCGAGGCAGAAAGCAAGAATGATGCACCGAGCGTGGCGTCCAGAGTGATAAAGTTACTGCATCGTTCTCAATTTGCCTGCAGTTTTCGGTGTAGGCTACACGAGCTCTCACATGGCCGAATAGTGGTATCACTCTCAGATGTCACGATTTCTCAAGGGAGGAAACAGAGATCGTCGCGTCGCTTTCGGAGTGGTGACTTCATCTCGCTGTCAGTTTGCCTTCAGTTTTCAATGCAGGCAACCCGAGCTCTCATGTGGCATCATGTTTTTTGGCGTTTTTGAGCATTTCTTGCCATTACCTACACAGTCACAGACGACCCAATAGTACCGGGCATTCACTCGATGGTTAGGTAATAAGTACCGGGCTTTTATTCACTGATTTCCTCCTTCAATTTTCATCAGAAGAGAGCTGATGCGACTAACACTTTTGCTTTTTCAACATTCCACTCATCACCTAAAACTGGCGTGTTTTCAGTAGCGCGTGTAAATATAATTTTTTTTAAAAAAAAAAAGGACTATGAAACTGCAAAATTTTTAGGGACATGTTTATCATTTTTTATTAACACTTAATGGGAGGTAAAATCGCCCATGAAGGTAGGCGACATCAGTGTATGTGTGGCTGATTGATGATCTATCTCTCAAGAATTTTCAAAGGATGATCTTCTTGTAGAGATAGAGAGCTTTCCTATCAGTTTTTGGTAAAACTTATCAATTACCTTTTGTTATCAAAATTTTGTGGGCTTTCATGTGGTTGTGACTTATTAATGAGAAATACTCAATTCTCTTCATTCAAAATTTTTATAGCTTGCTCATAATTATTTTTGGACGCATTATGGCAGACGTGCATTATTGCTTCTTGCAGAAAAACAACAAAATCAGCTATGCCATGTTTAGAAGATTTTCTGAGGTGCTCACTATCAAAATCACTTACTTTGTTGATTCACACAAATCATCTTTGTTAGTTTTTTAATTTGTTCACATTTTGTTTCTCTTGAGGTTTTATTTTGCCACTTCTACAATTTTTTTTCTGATTGAGGAATTTTATATCGATACCCAATAGACTTTTACTCCATGAAAAAAACAGGTGTATGTATTACCTTCCAAGCACAAAAAAATTACAGTGCACATCAATGAAACAAAATTTTACTTGCAGGATAATGAAATAAAATTATTTCACAGCCCTGCATCACAAAATTTCGAGTTTCATTCCCCTGCAAGCTATATTAATGACTTGCTAACTTCAACCTGCCGTAGAATGTCATCAAAATCGTGTAGAAATTCTAAATGACATTTACCATTACTTCATTTACTGAAACCTCACGGCACTTGCTCTAGTAGTTCAGAGGATACTCAAGATATTGTAAATAGAATTGACTTCCATTCAGCAATCTGGTCTGTTTAATTAACTGCAACTAGTCTGTTTAAGTAAAAGCAAAAATCTTAAGGAACAAAAAAAAATGCTGCGAATGGAAAAGTTTTAAAGATCTAAGAAACACAAGAAAAATGCTGATAAAATAACAGTTGTTAAATCTATTTATGTACACATATATTTACAGGGTATTTAACAGTACTGCTTTAAAGAGCAGTTAACATCTTCAATCATGAAGGAAAAAGTATATCAAGATTTTAGAATAAAAGGTCCAGTCAACCATTAAAATAAATGAGAGAGGGGGTTAGACTAGGCTGTATTTGTTTCTTTTTGATTTGTCAGCTCGAGTATCCTTTGGTTTAGTTTCTTGTTAGAATGTAGAAAATGCATAATGACATCTGCTTGTTTTTCCAGAAGATTTTCCACCAATTCCCACCTTTCTCTGAAAAAATCAAATGTATGTTTTAATCAGATACAACAGTGAACGTCCATAAGAAGAATATAAAAATGTTACAAGAGGGCAGAAGAGGAAAAAGAGAAATAAAATACATTCCTTCATAAGCCATTTCTTCACTTATATATCTTCAGAACATTAAAAATATTTTACTGACAAGGACTTCAGGGGACCTTGCTTGGAATTTCATGAGATTATTCCCCTTTCTTTTCATTTTGAGCCATTTTGGGTGGGGGGCTGGACCCATATCTCCTTGCAAAATGGTAAGAGCACATGAAATCTTTAATTCAAAAATTTTTGTTCAATGAGCATTTCACAGGGAGAAGAGGCAACAGCATTTTCCAATCGAAACACTAAGTGCTGCGGAAAATATAACAAGAATTGTGGAATTCCAGGAAAATAAAACCGAACTACTAAAATATTCAGCACCACAAACTGTTGTTGTGGAAATAAGAATCCTTGCTTTGCAGTTTTTTAGACTTTTCTCTGTAGTCTCACCAATTTCTGTTACTTATCACTCTAATAAAACTGCTTTTCTGAGCCACAACCCTGATGGTAATTTGACATAGAGAGCACCAGGGACAGTTTTCTTGATCAATATCTTTTTATCTATTGCTGTTAGAGAATGAGATAGTTGCATTAGTCATAGAACCGGGTTTTGGTCGTTTAAGCTCATAGATTAACAAAAATAATAAGATCTACAATATTTGAAGTTGGTATGATCATTGCATATTTCGGTTTATAGCAGCTCTTTTGACCACATGCAGCTATTAATTGAAGAGTAATATTTTAAATTGCATAAAGTTTTCAACTCTTATATTACACTCCTATAACCGAGAATGCTGGGAAATGACTATGAATTAGACATAACAAACTTGAAACCTCTCCCACCTGATCAGTTCAAGCAAGTTAATTTTGACGTATGGACTGTAATTACATGATGAAGTTATTCATTAGATTATTGACATTATAATCAATATCATCACATCCTGAGTAGTCTCAGTTCGTATAAACTTGCTATATCAACTTGAATGAACCAAGGAACACAGCAACTTAGAGCGGAAAGCCACTGATTTCCCTGCACTTTCTTGAGGGAATATTTTGCAAACAGATGCGCTAATCAGACTAAGCCTCCTTGACAAGCACTGAGGTTTTGAATCGGACAGTCTGGTAGCGGTCTGAAACCGATGCAATGCACCAACACAGAAATCTGCTGGAGTGTAGTTTGGAGACATTTTTGTGTATATGATAAAATTTAAATCAAGAAAAGTCTGGGTTGATCACTGATTACCACTAATCATCACCACGACCAATCATGCAACAGCCTATAGGATAACCTTGATAGGTGCACAAAATTGGAGTAAAATTGCACCTTTTTATTGTAAAATAGGTTTTTAAACAATCATTGAAGTGAAAAATTTGTACAACCTACCTAAGACCAAGTTCTGAAGTTGGGAAATGTTCATTTAATCTCCAACTACAATTGTATTCAATGTCCCTGGGAGGTCTCCGTCTGTTGAAATCTTTAACTTTTACTGGAAAGAAAACAGAATGTGAGTAAGAGGAGCGCAGAGAAAAAAAAAAATCAAGCCAATAAGTTGAACAACTTTTAGATAAGTAATATATGTACAAGGTGGAGAAATGGTGCTGGGTCCACACCATTTCGCGGGAAAAACAAAGGCAAGAAGTTTCAAAAATTAATGCCGTCTTGGATTTTGCGGCATGTTAAGTTGGGTTCACTGCCAAGTGAGATCTGCTGATGAGGTCTAAAAAGGCCCAAACCGGTATAGATCTCTTGGCGTGACTCCAACTTAATATTCCAATGCAAACTGCCTGAGCTGAACACTCTCCCCCTCGGTTTCGTACTGGTACGCATTAGAGTTCAAAATATTTAATTTTGACTCTAATTATAATTTTTGGAATGGACCCAGTACCATTTCTCCACCTTGTTACATACAGTTTCGGGCCCCTTTTTAGTGTTTTTTCTCATAGTATATGTACTGTGCATTAGATTTCTTGCTGTTTTTAAGGGATATGAAAAATCAGTTACCATTATTAGGTTTTTTGAAAAATTAAAAATAGTGATTTCTGTTTGTGGCAATTTAGACCTTCTGCTCTCAAAATCAAACCTCAGTTCATTCAAGTCAAATGAGGCACTTCGTTGGATATTAATCTGCAACAACTTAATTTTTCTAGGCAAATTTACAAGTTCTATGTATTACAGGAAGTGAAAAAATTTGTACAGCTAAACATGATTAATCTGCCAGACGTAAAAGAATGTTTTTAATAGCCAGTATGATCTACATTAGTTTCAGTTTCAGTTTCAGTTGAATTGACTGATTTTAATGTAGACTGCTAACACTAATTTCTTTCTTATAGGAAGATTTAAAACGTATTGAACATGTTTAACATCTCCTGCGAGACATATCAATGATGAGACTTGTTTAATTCATGGAAAACCTGATTAATTAAATTGTCTGGGAACTGAAAAAAGTTTTGACCTAAACAGAATATCAAATAATCCATTTTTTTGCTCAACATGATATCAGCATAATATAAATCATAAAAATGTTAAATTGAGTAGCAATGGCACTGATCCATGAATTATGTCTGCTAGATTTCAAACAAAAATGCATATGATAAGTATGCACAAAACCTGAGTATAAATATTAAGTTGACAAGAATCCATAATTCTCAAATCTTCATATGTAACTATTTGGAAATGGCAGCTGCTCAAAGTCCAAACGGCATAAAAGTGCATCTCCACCATTTGTTGTTGGATTTTGATACATACTTGTTTAAAAGGATTATTTGGCTTCCGACAAATAAACTGAACAAAGTAAACATTGAAATTACAACTGTTGTGTAGGAAACAGTTTTAACACTTTATCATCAATCTATTAGTCTGAAGGAGGGTTTTTGACAAATTTAAAATTAGCAGGAAAAGAACTTTGACATACAATCAAGGAGTGCTATTTTTGAGCCAGTAGCCTTGAATTTAGACTTTCAACTTACGTGAGTATATTGAGAGGTAGTAAATAACCAGTACACATTCCAATGTCAATAAAATGAAGACAAAATTGAAAAGAGACAATGGGAAGTACTTGTCACAATACGGTCTGGGAGAGATACCCTCCACACCATAAATACCAATGAAAACCATGTACACAGGATTCCCTGAAAAATCAAAGAGAAAGAAATTGTAGTATCAAATATACAAATTCAGTCAATACAAAATTAAAATAATGGATTTAAAAAAAAAAAAAAAAAAAAAAAAAAAAAAAAAAAAAAACAGGTGAAAAATAGGTACCAACATGAAGGCTGTATTGGAAACGCTTACTCTTGTGTTTTGAATTTTTTTCCCTCTTGTGATAGCCTTAACCTGGGGACCTGGAATAAAACAAAATGTACTTGCAATTCCCGTTTGATATAAGAGGCTCTTCTTTCAAAGACCCCCACAGCCGATTTTTGGCACTCGACTATCATTACGCCCTGTATTTTGTCTCTGTTGATTTGTCCCCTCCCTTTATTAATAATTGAGAAAGGCTCCCAGGAAAGTGCCCATAAAATAAGAGTTTGTTTCCGTAATTCATGGTGTTTGGACAAGCAGAGAGTAATTGTTTGGATGTGCTGTTCACTGTCCGAGCAGCAGCTTCTTTCAGAGCATTCCTCACATCATTCAAATTACGTTTGAAAGTATCAGACTTAACAAAGTCATTCAAGCCTTAAATTAACTTGTTAACTTTCTATTGTTTCTAGCCCAGCCCATAGTTCTAAACTCTGCAGATACATATAATCTGGTTATTTTTTTTGCCTACATGCGTTTTTCTGTCTCCAACAACATCTCATTAAGTGAGTGAAGTAATATAAGCTGTACTATTTTTTTTCTATCCATCCATCAGACATTAACTTTAAAACATTTCCATGCAATTTTCTGAACTAAGAAGGTTATTTGAGAGAGTCACACTTTGGGAAGTATAGAGATAGATTTTGGTTCAAGTCCAAGAATTGAAAAAACTTTTCAGAAGAAGCATTTCTTTCTAAAAAGTTAGTGTCAGTAAAGGTATGGGAATACTCACAAAGTGAGATGATTTTATGTGGCTTGGAGGCATATTTGTCAGCTACTTGAAAAAATTCAAAGTAGCCATCTCGCTTGGTTCTGAGATGAATGCGTTTGAAAAAAAAGTTGGTCATCTGCAACAAAAAACATACAAATCAAGTATATTTCATCACATTAATAATCTTAGGATAATTTTATCATATTTGTTGCACGACTTGCATGTTTGGAAGAATTACCACTAAAAAAAAATGTGGAAAGCCTGCCATACATATACAAGGATAGCGGAGAAATCTTCAAGTTTTTTCCCAATTTTGAAACGAAAAATTCATTCGAAGTCGAAGCAAGATACAAGACTTGATCAATAAGAATCAGCCAACTAACGCTCCCCTCTCTAGGAATAGTTTGAAATTTCCTGCAAATCAAGTTGTTTAGGTTGTAAGCTGCAATGTGCTAGTATCGCGAATCTCTAAGAAAGTGCAGACTGATATGAAAACGTGCAACATTTGAAACCCTTCAAAATTTTACCTCTTACCCTTATTGTTTGGGTCTTCCCACAAAATTGGAGCCTTTCCTCATTTTCACTCACCCAGGCGGGCGCATGATCTAGCATTTTCTGCACCTCTGCTCTGGCTCTGAAGGCCTGAACTCAACAATATAGAGACTATAGATTGGTGGTGGCCTACGAAAAAACGTAACACACATGGAGCGGTTGTTCGATAGGCGGGCGGGGAGTGGAAATGGCCGATTGCTATCTTCGTCATAACCTCAAATACATGGAATCTTACGAGAGTTTTTAGAACCAATGATTTAGCATTGAAATTTTCATCGTAAACGCACTTGATGAACGGCTAAGTTCCATACATGGACACAGATTTTCAAATAGTTGGTTCTAAATTTGATATAAGCCCGTATTCAGCAACAGTCCCATAAGAAGCCATAGAAACCTACTATCTTTGTCCTAGCCTAATTGTTGCTCCTGGTGTGTTACGAATTTCACTATTGGCGTATCATAGGATCCCCCTATCTATAGTTGCTAGATCGTTGCCTGAACTCTACAGATACAGACTAATAAGGAGGAGATTATCAAAAATATTATTAAAGAGATATAAAAGAAAAAAAGATACCGGTCCAAAAAGTTGGGAAACAAAAAGGGCAGAGGGTGTCAGAACCACTGGTATACCATTGGCATAACTCATGAGTTCCTTTCTCAGTTCAGTTTCTTAGTTTCAAATTTCAAATGGAGTTTTTCTTACCCATGAAACAAGCCAGTAAGCTGAGTGAATGAAGAGGAGAATAAAGAGGACAGGATCACATGATAAAGTTTTATTGTAAACTTCAAATCCAAGAAAAATACTGACTACTTCCATGGCAATCTGGAAACAAAACGAGAAGAGAGTAAAGAAATTCAGCATAAGAAAATTAGCCTTCTTTCAGTTTTTTAATGGCATAAATCTCTTACCCATGGCTCCATCTATAACAGTACATCCTGCAATGTAAATGATGGAGTTAAGTGGAGGAGTGCTTTCGAAGATATACAAAATTAAAAGTTGTTAAAATTCTTGCTGAAATACTTTTAAGGATTTGCAAGGTTCTAGAAATCATATTAAATAGTGGGGTTGAAAAATCTGGGCCATAATTATAATTTTCAAAGCATTAAATCCACATTTCCATCATTAATGACCAGGTTTACCAATCTACTGCGATTTTTTTTTTGACAGTACTTAATGATGATTACTTAAATGAGGAACTGGCAGTTTTATACTTAGGGGGAAAAAAATACAGGGATCAACCAACAGGCTATATTTAATCGACAAAAATTCACTTTCTCTCCTCTGTGTTTAGTCTTAATGAAAACACCCATCAGTACTAACAAATTCTGTGAAAAAGCAAACTTACAGTGAAAAATATATGAAGAGTAGTAATCCATGCTGTGTTGAGGGGCTCAAAGGGTTGACAAGTGCCAAAGTCAAGGGATGGCTCAATTAAATTTGCGGAGTCCAGGTCCATTTTAAAAATCTGCAGACCAATTAAGAGGAAAAAGCACTGATAAGAGATGAGTTAGTGATAAAAAAACTGATTAAGTACATCCCATTAATTTTGATCAAACTTGCGGTCACCTAATAAGATTTACTTTAATGACTATCCTACGCAAAGTTCAATTCGTTGGGTCAAAATAAGACAGATATTTAATGGTATAAAATGTTTTCCAAAACATCTTGCTCGGAGCTACATCATGATACAGAAAATTTCTTTGTCTTTTCATTTTTTATTTGGTCTTCCTATTTAAAAATCCCTTTAATCTCCCAAGACTTTCAAAGAGATGATCTTTTACACTCAGTATTCCACAATTTTATGAAAGATATGCTATTTTCACGCGGTTTCGCAGACTATAAACGTTTAACACCTTGTTTTTACAAAAGTATGCAAAGGTTTTGCAAAAGTATGCAGTAGTGTTTTGCATTGACCAAAACGAGCAGCCTGATTGTTGAAATTTTGTGTTTGCCGGGTAGACATAGATGACATAGGTGAAAAGGCAGAGCGTGGTTGGTCAACCATGTCTTATTGCCGCTTTTTCATGCCAATGTTGAGTGGAGCTCACAAGCTAAAGGAACCTCTTAAGTTTCCGACAGTATGTCATCCATCCCACCTGACAAAGGCACGATAAAGTAGCGATAAGACATAGACAACCAATCACACTCCATCTTTTAACCTATGTCATCTATGTCTCCCCCACAAACACAAAATTTCAACAATTCGGCTGCAGCTCTACTACTATTAAAGTTTGGTTTGAGGTTTCCTCATTTCAGCAAACCACCAATCAAGTGATCAAATAGTTCTTGGATCAGCTTTAGACTAACTTCTATACTATAATCCAAACATTTCATTCGTATCTACAACAGATACATCCTTTGAATCTATCAATGTAGAGGGGTTGTCTGCTGAGTTGGCACTAGTATACATTCTCTTTTCCAGCAACCACGGTTCAGTCATCCAATAGGAATCTAGGATTGAGAACACTCACGATCGGAGCGTGGAAAATACTTGATCGCTATTGGTCGATTGCATCGCGATCATTTGCAAGCGCAATGTTAACAAGTGCCAACTTAGATGATGACAGCAACACCTCTAGCTATACTTCAACAGCATAAATGCTACCAGTTGGCCCATAGATAAATTGGCTCCTGTATAATCAGTTCTGAGAGCGCTCAACTTGTAACGTTGAACTTCACTCTTGCTTTTCAAAATTCTTTGGTATCTTTTGGTAGATTTGGTATACTATTGTAAATTTACTTGAGAGTTTCAGGATGAAAAACACTAACGAATATAATTAATGAGGTGAAACAAAAGTAACCTGAATGAAGGGAAAATTCCTTCCATACCTGCACACGAAGTAAAGAAATAAGATTTGAAAGGATGGATCTTGGGGAACAAAATAGAACTACTGACTGGCAAAATTTTCATTCTTTGTAAGTATGAACTATTGAATCATTTAAAAAAACATTGCTACTTTGAGCAGACTTTCTATAATGTTATAAATTACACAGCGAACAAAAGGGTAGCATCAGCACAGCATATAATAATGCATAATGGCATAACCAAACACATAACCTCTAAAAAGGTAAACAAACAAGGACCATTGACATACAGGGTGATCCAAAAGTCCCTACAGATTTTGGATCACCCTGTAAAATAAAATCTTGACCACGCATACGGATATTTTGGCGAGACGTTAGGTAAGCAACCCTGCATTGCATGGGCCTATGCCTACTTATGCGAGTCATGTGTCGAGACTGCATGATATGTTGAAAAGTATAAGGCAAAGTTTTTCACCCGATTTTTCAAATTTGAGCTCTTTAAATGTACAAAAATCAAAGGAATCCAGAGGGGGGNGGGGGGGGGGGGGAGAGAATTAGGTAGATTTCGCAACTATCTCTTTCACACCTAGGAACACCGAAGGCAAAAAATCTTTGCTTGAACCAAATCATCCAAAGAACTCAACTATGCTTTAGATGAATATTTGTATGCAACTGAAAGTGCAAGAAAAAATTTATCTCAGAATGATGTTCAGATTTATTGATGTTGGAATATTACATAAGATAAGCTGCAAGTCAGTATCTCTTCAATAATCTTTTAAAAGTGTCCATTGATGGAGCTCTGACATGCATCGGGGATTTGAGTATTTTTTCTCATGTGTATCAGTATATCACGAGAAGCAGGATGGTGCTACTGACTTCCTCTGATGAAACTTCCAAACTCAGAGGAACCTCTCTAAAATTGAGGCTGTAATGGAGGGGATCTCCTACACTGTGCTGCGAGTATACCTAATACACTCTTCATACACAGACAGGGAACGAATAAATTAGCAGAAATGCTGTGGTTCCAGCCTCAAAGTGGCTTCAATACAGTTTAATAGTGCAACACTTCAGACCTACGCTTTTCGTATCGATAAGGAGACCCAGTTTGCTTTCACTACTGGTATCGTGAATTTTCTCACATGGTCCTTTGACTCGACATCTTTGGCATGCCTAGGAAATATTTCCAGGAGTTACTGATAAAAAAGTTCCTCTAGTCATATGGCATAATCCCATGATACAAATATTACCCTGAAAAACTCAAACAATTATTTTGCTTTTGAAAGGATAGGAAGATGGGGGCCCCGGTGGCTATTGAACTCGGCAAAAATAGATGTTCATAATTTTTGAAAATCTGATTTTTAGAATAACAGGCAGGACCTGAAAAAAATGAAGATCATTTATGCCTTTTGCAGCAAACAATTGGTTGAAAAAGCTCCATCAGCCTATTAAGGAGAAAAATCTGCCCATCGTTTCAGCAGAAAATAAATTGGTTTAATTTAACATGGTAACATAGGGGTAGGGCTAAGCCAGTTGACCAAAAAAATTTGGTTATCATGAACAACAGGGAATATTATCAGGCATGCTGAAGAAAAATTCCGCAGTATGCTGCCCTGCCATGAGAGAACTTGGTATGAAGAGGAAATATAGTCTCTTCCTGTGCATGGTTTTATTTTTAAATCCTACTCTACAGGTTTGCAGGTTACATTACGTCGATATTTTTACAAAAAGTGAAATGAACCCAGTTGAAAACAAGAAGACCATTCCATGAGACGCCATGTAATTGAGTCAAGATAAAAGTCCATTTTCACTAGAAGCCTATTCTTTGACCGCATTGTTCCCTTCTTCAGCATGGCAGTATATTTGACTGCTGACTCCGAAAATGGCCTGCCTTTGTCTCTATCAAGGCACTAATTTCCCCTAAGAGAGCCGAGAGAGAGAGATATTTGAGGAAAATTCGAAGTTTTCTAGGGGCATAAAATTGATTTTGAGAAATGAGGTCATTTTCAGAGTCGGATCTGTAAATTCATCCACAGTCATTCAACTTCTTGCAAACTTCAATTTTTTCCCCCTGCCAGTGTTAATGATACTTAACTTGATTACTTTGTTAAGTTTTCACATATGCAGTGATAATTAAAGAAGAGAAAAGATGAATCATTATAGTGTTCAAAAAAATGCAGTATATTCATTTACACAAAGTAAAATAATCTACAATTTTTACAATTGCATCTCACTGAAATCATGGTGAAACATACAAAGAACGACTGAAAAATAATTCTAGTTACTATGATTTTTTTTCAAAAAGGAAATGATGACATTGAAGAGATTCACTTCACAAAATCACAAATAATGCTGCAAAAAAGACTTAAAGTTGGGGTATATCAATGAAATATAAGTGACCAATCAGTGCCAAATTAAAGGAACATTGGAATTGAACGTAATATTGAACAATTTTTTGAAGTAGCCAAGACAAAAGTTGCATTTGAATTTAATTCCCACAAAAATGAAGAGAAGAGGATTTACAGCATTGCAACGGTGAAATTTCCAAACCACGTATCTTGCTTACAGTGTTTCAGATCTTCCTCTTGTTTCATCTTCTTGGTCAAGAATGCATTAAGATCATTCTTTGGAATTCTTACAGAATATTCTTTGCACAAGGAAAAATATTTACGCAAGTTTAGGAGAGATGACATTGATTAGTTTTTGACAGCGATTATAATGTACAACATAAAATCAGTAACCCTGTAAGCCAAGACGCGTCATTTGAGTACTTCACTGTAGATTAGAGGTTCAGTGCAAGATGGTACTTTCTTAGCTCTACTGAGGCAGTCACAACCAAGGATAAAAAATTCCTTTCTTGACAAAAAACTATTACAAAAATAATTTTGGGAAGAAAAATAGTTTTCCCTTTATTTTTCATGTCTCTACTCCGTGTATTCAGTGTAAATATATATATATATATATATTTATAAAAACAATGCATCAAGAATAATTAACACCTGCTTTAAGACTACAACTTAAATAGTAAAAAAGTAACATCTAAGAATTATTCCACAGGGATATTAGGAAGGGCGCAAGTACATAAATCGGACAGGAAAACACTAAGCTAAACTTTTCTGTGGCCAATATGAGACACTTTGCTTAAATTTTTGGCCTCAGTGATCACTTTATACAACACTTCAACATTTTAGGGGAGAAAATGTTCTGTCACAGTAAAATGATTGTACAATTTAGTGACAGAAAAAAGAGAGAGGGAGGGAGGGGCTCCAAAGAGCCCCATTTATAATTGCAAAAAATCATTGTCAAGTTAGAAAAGGACCTTGAATTCAATCCAACAAGTTAAGTTGTATATTCACTGAGCTTTCCTTCAACCTTATGTAATCTAGATTTAAAAATGATCATAATAAGAATGGTCAAGTTACAAAACATGTCATACAGCAAATCATCCCTGATTGCACAATGCTGAAGGGACCAGGGAAAAATCTGTCACTACTTCTGTCCTCTTAAAGAAATCACAACTTTCTTTACTCTTTTCTATAAGGCCTTTTGCTTTCAAAAAGAGTGGTAAATATATGCAGGGTGCATGGGGTCTGTGAACATGAGAGTTCTGCCAGCAGCACATCAATTGGATTTGTAAGTTTTTGTAATGATGCTGATATTTAATAATGAAATTCGTATTGTACATATGTTATTATCATTACAAAAAAAAGAGAATAAAGATTTTGTACCAATACCATTAGGTAGTTGAGTCATTTTTGTATTGCAAAAAATCAAGTGAGACGAAAACAGGGTTTGAACTGTGCGCTGGTAGCTTCCGAATTTACACATCACAAGCAATACAATTCTCCTCCAAATTAATACCCTGCAGACATTACTTGACTCCTTTTCGAGATCTCTAATGGTGATTAAGAACTTCTTCCCGGTTCAGGTAATTTCATTTCCAGGAGTTCACGGCAAAAATGTTGAGGAAAGAGCAGGTACAAAACAAAATCACTATTTGAACTGGTGAATTTGCATATGGATTTGTAAATGACAAAGGATGAAATCATGGTGACTTGAAAAAATGATAAATTACGTTATAGTTAAAGGCTAGTTAAATTTACGAGCTTAAATTTTACATGAATAAAAAATGAAATTCAAACATAATAATTATGAATAAAATTTAGTTTCATAGATTGAAACAAGAGAAACTGGATTCTCAAATTTTCACAGCGCACTGACATCATTATGTACTAGGTTTTTTTTTAGAAGAAATAAAATTCCACATGATTTATTAAAAATTTTCTTGTTTTCCTTCGAACATTAAAACTCTATCTTTCATGCTAATTATTGACATTCACAGGTTTCAGAGACAATTAATCATCAGAATGTAGTCTGATATTAATGAAGCTTGGATCTAATGAGCATCTCAAACTTATTCTTCATTATACATGCCTACGAATCTGTCACATGCATCATTCTATATAATTAGCATCTGTCTGTCACAAAAAAGAATGTAATGGGGAAAGGAACATAATCAACCTCAATTCTCAAGAACCGATGATGTGTGACAGGAACAATGACCCCGGTCGATGGCCAGTGGTAAAATAATTGAAACCAAGCAGGAAAAGGAAATCCTGCTTGAATCATACAGCAGCACAGCCGTAAAAACAAAAAATTTCCTCTTGAAACAACCCCTAGCTGGCATAGTTGCCATTACGACGTGGACTAACTTGTGATCAATGGGCTTGAAACTGCACTATTCACAGTCAATATCTCAAAAACAACATGACGAACAAGGGGGTAACATTTTCACAAGTCTTGGAAGAGTTCAACTTTCTGCCCCTCTGGCAAATTGTGGATTTATAATTGCCGACAAACAATGCCCAGAGAAGTCCCATCAGTCTCTACTGCAATGCTTACATACATTCATTTCAAAAAAAATTTTAAAGTAACCAAACGTTTGAGAAAATAAAGCTACAATTAGACCAAGATATCTACACTTCAGGTATCAAAAACCATTAGAAATGTTTTACATTAAATAATCACATCATATGGTGATTAAAAATTATTAAGTTAGAAAATTCCGTCTACGATCATGTAAAATGGCTATTACAATTTACACCACGAAAAATTATTTCCAGCACTATTATCAATTATTAACACAGAAATTCTAGCTTCATATATACAACAATAAATATACAAACAAATAAGG